TGTGTCGTTGGCCGCGTCCAAGCAGAGGGCCGACGGGCCATGGTCTGGGCTCGTGGTTGGGCGCGATGCCTCGGTCGCTTTCTTCCGCGCAGACAGCGGCAGCGCGACGGCAGTCACCCCGCCGCGGGACGCGCGCAGAGATGGATACGCGTGGGTTGTTGAAGGCTCTATACGGCACGCGCGAGGCTTCGAAACGCTTTGGTCAGTGCGTGATGCGCGCTTTAACTTTGGAGGGTGTCGAACTTGTCGTCGTCGTTTTCATGGCATTTTGTCGGAGAGCACTGGACGTGTCCACGCGTTGTCACGGCGGCGATTTCCTTGCGCAGGGCGAGAGCGATTCGTTAGACCAGGCGGGCAGCATCGTGAGCAAGCGCTTCGAAGCGAAGCTCTTGCCTCGAATCGGCCCCCCGGAGTTCGGCGGACAGGCGTCGTCCGGAAACCGCCTGAAGAGGACGATCCGCTGGGCCACATCCGGTTCTGAGCGGGGGCGCAACCCGCAGCGCGTCTTTGATCTCGTCGAGCTCCAGGGCCCCGCGCAGGGAGTGTCCAAGGGCGCGAACGCGCCAGCGTCCAAAGACACCGGGAAGGGCGACAGAGACGTACGCGACCCCTTTGGGAGGGACGACGATGTGCTCTTCAGGACAGGAGCGGGGGCGCTGCAGTACCTCGCAGAGGACGCGCCCACCCACGGTTATGTTTGCAGCCTCTGGGATCATGGAGGGGGCGACGGCGTCTCTCAAGACTCACCAGCAGAAGTTGGCGCGCTGCAGCCAGTGCCTGTTGGGCCGCCCAGAGGAAGCGTGGCCCTTCGACTACCAGAAGATGCCATCATCGCTCACGGAGCACTGCGACTCCGACTGGGCACCAGAGTGGGGGACGAGGCAGGGCGCAAGTTGCGTCGCCGGCCGAGAACTTCGGGAAGCACTTGCATGGAGTAAGCGCGTCGAAACAACCCCCCCTAGCTCTCTCGAGTGCGGTGTGTGTGTGTGTGTGTGTGCGTGTGCGTGTGCGTGTGTGTGTGTGCGTGTGTGTGTGTGTGTGTGCGTGTGTGTGTGTGTGTGTGTGTGTGTGTGTGCGTGCGCGTGTGTGTGTGTGTGGTGTGTGTGTCTGTGTGCGTGCGTGTGCGCGTGTGTGTGTGTGTGTGTGTGTGTGTGTGGGGGGGGGGGGGGGGCGGAGTTGCATGCTATCGTCGAAGGCGCAGCACAGGGCGTGCAGACGAGCCAGGTGATTGCATCTCTCACTGACCGCGAGCGCAGCATAGAGAGGTCTTCAGCGACTCGTCAGCAGCACGGGGGATCTGCAGCCGGCTTTGAAGCGGCAAGGTGATGCACCTGTCCGCGAAAGACCTTTGGGTTCAGTTATTCTTCCGGGACAGCCGCGGTAAGCTAAATAAGGTTGATGGAGAAGTCAACTGGGCGGACCTTGGCACGAAGGCGCATGCGCAGGCTTGGCTACAGCAGCAACTAGACATGATGCCACTGAGGAGGAACGAGCCCTTGAGGAGCGAAAGGAGGAAGGGCTTGAGCTCAGGCAGGGTTGCGTCGTTTCTAGCGATGTTGAATCCTTGCAAATAGTAGTGGGCCCTGAGCCCGCGACGAACGCCAGGTGGTGGACCCTGCGTCCGCAAACAACAGCGGGGCTTGACTGCGCACGAGAGAACGCCGCGCACACCTGGCCGGCAGCGCGGCGACCGGGGAGGAAACAGAAGCCTGCCACAACCCCACAATGCCAACACGCATGGCTATGGTGGTGGACTTCACATACATGCGGTACGCCAGCTGGTGCTGGCAAGCCTGGCTGCCAGGAGCTGCCGGGTGGAGCGCGCCGTGAGCACGCCGTATGTCCGCGCAAAGGGTACGGGCATAGATAGCAAGCATATAAACAGTATGACTTGTGTGCACATGCACTGAAACAAAGCCCCGTCCATGGATTTAGCGGGCCATCTGCTCGTGGATTTGACAGATGAGGAGGTGTCTACAGGAGGCTGGAGTCTGATCTACTACTCTCTCGTGACACTAAGCGAGCCGGAAGGACAAGGACTGGCACGGAGTGGATCGTGCATCCGCCACCTTGATAGTGATGCGCGGCTCTGGGAGCCGCCCCGCGCAGGCCGACCACCCCAGCGGAGCCCGACTCCGCAGAGGCCGGGAGCACTCTCAGGTGGCTTCTTGCCTAGGTCATGCTAGGTACAGGCTCTGACCAGGCAGTGAGGTCTCGGCAGAGTGAGCCCAATGGCATGATCTGTGTAACTATATGGGGGAGGTGGTAGGTGCAGTAGCAGAGAGCGCGCAGGAAAAAAAAAGGACCGCTCTCCTCTCCTCATCCTCCGCGCGCGCGCCGCCGCGACAGGGGGGGCCCTCTCTATGGCCCGTGCTTCATGTTCGATTCGAATCCGAGGCGGGTCATCCGAAAACAGCCAATTGCCGTCATTTTTGGGTTCCCCAGGATTGAATTTGGAGGAGGTCTTGGGCGGGAACCTCGTTTGTGAGCGAATTGCGAGGAAGTCTGAGACGGGAGCCCCCCCCCCCCCCCTATGGGGCCTGAATTTCACAGTGGTAATCCGAGTGGGCCATCGGAAATTTATACCTGTCGTCACTTTTGGGCTCCGCAAGCCGAAGTATGGAAGAGGTCTCAGGGGGTAGCCTCGTCTGTGAATGAATTGCGAGGAAGTCTCAGGCGGGAGCCCTTTCCCTGTTGGATTCGCGGTTGGGGAATTCGCATTTCGCTGCGCGTCGGCGAATTCTTGCAGCTGAAACCCACTGGCAGCATCGGCCTTTTGACGGACGTGAGCGAGGTCATGGACGACGGGTCGCGCAAGTACGCGGGGCCGCCGACGGTGGAGATTCAGGGCGCCATCAAGGTCTTCTCTCAGATCCCCTGCGTCTTCGAGTTGAAGGGCACGAAGCGCTTCGAGCCTGGGGGCCCTCTGATCGCACTTTGGGGCTGCACGCGCGAGGGCAAGCGCTTTCCTGCCAGAGGTGGAGTCTGCCCGGGAGAAGGCGTTGTCCTCGGGCGACCGCGGCGTCGTGGATCCTCGGTACCGCCGCGAGAATTTTCGGCTCGGTTACGGCATGGGCATCTCTTGGAAGACGCTGGCGAGATGGATCAACGCGCGCTCGTCGCGACGCGCGGCGCCTCGGCGCCCCCCTCGTTTTCCTGGGGGCCGTAGACGAGTGCGGCTCGAGTCAAGGCGATTGAATCGCGGGCTGGCGCCTCCTGAGCGGCGCGTGCGCGCGCGCGGGGACGTCAGCGGCGTTTTGCCGGCACGCGCTGGCACGGAGGTCCGGTTCGCGGCCGCGCAGCAGGAGTTGAGGGAGAAGTTGGGGCTCGCGCAGGAGAAACGGGCCACGATCACGCCCATCGAGTTTCGCCCGGGCGACGAGCGGGACTACGAGGGGAGAGCAACGGGCCATCTCATTCGCCCCCGCCACCATCCGCGGGGAATCTGGACGCAGGTCCACGGCTTCAAGGGGCCCCCGATCTCGAGGTCGCCGAGGCGCCGCTGCAGAGCGGCGCCGAGGGCGCTGACGACGACGGCGAGGCCGAGGCGCGGGCGAGGATCTCGCTCGTGTCCAGGTCCAGCGAGCAGGGGCAGAGCTCGGGGCCGCACGTCGCGCTCCGTTCGGGGGTCACCTCGGCGCGCGCGCCCTGCTTGACCTCCACGTTGTCGCAGGGCCAGACGCCGCGCAAGGGCGTCGCCGTCGACTGCGCCAGGGGCAGGGCGCTGGTCGCACGGGCGCGTCGGACGAGCAGCGGCGGCTGCGCCTTTTACGCCGCGTTCCCCCGCGCCGCGCGCGTGCGGAACATGCTGATCTTGCGGCCGCCCGCGAGAGAGCTCCTGGAGCGCGGGCCGCCGGCGCCCCCGCGGAAAGCGCCCGAGGAATTCGAGGGGAGAGAGGTGGGCTCCAGGGCTGAGGCAGAGCAGCTCGCGGCAGAGCTGGACATCGTGCTGCCTCCCGCCAGAGCGCGGCCGCGACTACCTCCGCGCCTGCGCGGCTGTCCCAGCGGCATGCGCTCGCGCCCCAGCGGCTCGCGGGGTTGCCTCAACGCGCGGTTTCGAAGGGTTGCCCCGACGGCTTCGCGACCCGGCCGGCCGTCGGAAAACGCGCCCGCGCCGGCCGCGGCGGCGACGGTGCCGAGAGAAATCGATTTGTCCTGGCCACGGGGCAGCGGAGGCGCACGCGGAAAACAGGCGGGGGGGCGATATGAGAGAGAGAGAGAGAGAGAAAAAAAAACAAAAAAAAAAAAAAAATTAACAATGAGGAGGGTTGCGAAGAAAAGAAAGAGGAGGAGGAGGAGGAGGAAGAGGAGGAGGAGGAGGAGGAGGAGGAGGAGGAGGACGGGGGCGAAAAGGAGGAAGGGTGACGAAAACAACGAAAAAACGGAGGGCGAAGATGACGAGGAGGAGGGGCTGGCGAAAGATAGGCCAATAGAAGGCCGTGGGCAAGCTAAACAGATTACCGTTTGGGGTCCTACTGTCGGAATAATTTGGATCGGAAGCGGTCCACTTGAAAAACATTCAGTGGAACACCAATTTTGAGATCTGGAACGGAACCCCCGCGCACAAAACGGCACCATGGAAAGGGAGGAAGGCAGCATTCGTATAGTTGAATTGTGGACGGGTAGCAGAGGGAACGGGAGAAGACAACTAGAAGGCTGACACCAACTCTGAGGAAGGCGTCGATCATGAAGTGCGCGCGGGGAGGAGCCTGCTCAGTGGCAGCTGGGGAAGGGCTGGTCTGAGTCGCCCCCCGCGCTCTCACAAGGCCGTTCCCTCCCCACCCGATTTTTTTGCGCGCCGCCGACCCGGTCCCTGGGCCCCCCCCCCACCCCCACCCCGAGGTCCCCGCCCTTGGGGTCATCTGAAGGTTCCCGGAGGGCCTCCGGAGGCCCCAAAAAAGGGTCTGGGCCATCGATCTTCTCGATTCCCCGCGAGGGCGAACGGTTCCCAGTGGCGCGCCCGCCGCCGTGAGACGGCGGCCCCCCATCGCCCTCCCCAGGCGTGGGGCCCGCCGCCGCCCGACGGCTGGGGCGCGCCACCGCCCGGCTGGGGCGCGCCGCCGCCCGGGTGGCCGCCGCCTCCCGACGGCTGGGGCGCGCCGCCGCCCGGGTGGCCGCCGCCTGCCGACGGCTGGGGCGCGCCGCCGCCCGGGTGGGTGCCGCCCCCGCGGCCGATGCGCGACTACGCGCCCGACGCCATAGCCATGCTGCGCCACCACGGCGTGTTGGACGGGTCCTTCGACGAAGACATGGTGGCGGACCTGCTGGACGAGACCTTCGGCTGGCAGTCCTTGCTGGACCCCGTGCAGGTGCGCCCCTACATGGACCGGTTCCTCCACGCGGCCAGCGAGCTGAAGGTCGCGATCTGTGGCGGCAGGGCCGCGCCATCACAGTCCCGGGCGTTGCCGGCGGCGGCGCCAACCAACGCGCAGCGGCCCGCGCCGGCGCCGTCATCGTCCCGGCCGTCCTCCTCGCGGCCGTCTTCGTCGCGGCTTCCCCAGGCAGTGGAGGCGCCAGCGGCGTCGCCGGAGGCGCCGCAGAATCTTTTGCCCCCCCAAGCATACGTGGCACTTCAAGCCCTGACCCCCTCGCGTCGGGGAAACCAGCCCGGCGGGCTGCTTTTGTTGGCTGGTTGTTCGGCTTCGGGGCGCCCTCGCCTGGCCCCATACGACCGCAAAAAAAACGGTTCGGGATGAAAACATCGCCCCGGGGAAGCGGTCATTTTTTGTTAACCGAGCAAGATAATCAAAAATATCCCTGGGGCTCGACGCTGTGAAGAACATGGCTTCGGAGGTCTGGGACGCCGTCCCTTCCTCTGGTCGCCCCCTCCCTTGCCGCCTTCCCTCCCTCTCCCATCCTTCGCCCCTCACCCCCGCGCCTGCTTCGGCCCCTCGGTGGGCTGGAGTGGGGCGGGGTGTGGGCTGTTGCCGAATGAAGGGCAATGGGCGGCGAAGCGAAGCCGGGAAGGGGGGAACGAGAATGAAGCCAAGGGGAGGGACGGCCACGAGCAGGGGCGACGGGCGTTGGCAGAACAGTGATCGAGGGTTCCACAGCCACAGACTTCGCCTCACCTGTCCTCCTCACCTGCTTCTCCAACCCGTACCCCTCCTCCCTCCTCTATCAACGATCGCGGCACTCGCTCCCCCCTCGCTTCCCCTGTTCGCCTGAAGTGGCCGTGTGAGTCGACCACGTCTGAAATTTGCGACACCACGCTTCGGGCACGCAGACAGGTCTTGTCGAGGCTCTGCGGGGTCACGCCGACTGAAGCTCTGACGGAGCGGCCACATATTCTTTAAGGCATAGTAGATGTTAAAGTCATAAATCTGTATCGTGCCTTTCCACCACCTCCTCCTCCTCTTTCTCCCATGGCCTCATCCTCATCCCCTCCTTTCCCATCCTCACTATCCGCCTCGCCCTTCCCCCTCCGCCATCCTCGTCCTCAGCCCCACCCTCATCCTCTTTTCCTATGCTCCTACCCTCGGCCCCCTTGCCCCATTTTCCTCTCCCTCCCCCTCTCCTCCTCCCATCCTCCGTCTCGTCCTCTCTCCTTCTCGTCCTCGGCCTCATCCTCTTCTTCCCTCTCCTTCCTCTCAGACCTCCGACGTCTTACTGTGCTCACGGCGCGGGACCCAGAAGCTCTTTGCCGCGTCCAAGGCAGGGACGGGCTTTCATCGCGGGGCACTGCGTGATGGCCCCCCGCCAGCTGCTTCTGGAGGCCGAAGCCGAAGAGAAGCGTCCATTGGTTTCTGTCGGCCCCGCTGGGACCTGTCTTGGAGCACGTTCTGACCAGAGCGACGGTTGGAATCTGGCCGTGGCGACGAGGGAGCTCCAGGAGGCGCCACGGGCGCCAAACTCGATCCAGGGCAAGTTCTTCCTTTGGGTAGCGAGATCGGCCCCCCTCGGACCCGTCCAGGGGGCGCGTTTTGGCCAGTCATCGGAGGGAGTCCGGCCGTGGCGGCGAAGAGAGGAGGAGGAGGAGGAGGAGGAGGAGGAGGAGGAGGAGGAACAGGAGGAGGAGGAGGAGGAGGGACACGGAGGAGGGAGAAGCCCCCAGGAGGCCCAAAGAGGGCGAGAGGTATTCCAACCTTTTCCGCTTCGAGCTTCGCACCCTCGATCTGGCGCCTGGCGCTTTTGGGCCAACGCTGCGTCGGTGAGGTCTTGATCCAACTTGCGGCCCTGGAATCAGGGAGGTCTCCGCCACACATGTATACATATATCGATATGTATATATATATATATATGTGTATATATATATATATGTACACACATATGTATGTGTTTATATACACAGGCACCCTCCAATGGACAATTCCTGAAACTTCCTGGGCCTCAGGGAAGGGCTGCGGTGTGAAAATCACCACTGGGAGCCAGCGACTTTGTATACCGCGCCCACCCTGAAGGTACATTCAAAAATCGTCTGAGGGTGTCTGTGTATATATTTTCGCTGCGTAGGGTTTGATAACCGAGCCCGAGAGCCGCTCATGCGTTTATCCGTAAGGGCTTCGCCCCCATGCCGCCAGCCCCCTTCTCTTAGAATGGGACTTGCCAGAGAGCTGTGTTGGGATGTCTGGACGCTGACGTGAAGCAATGTCGGGAGTTCACGCGAGGGCCAATATTCATGTACGATGGTTTATGGTTTCGGTGGCGCGAATATTAGGTAATTTACAAGGGGTGATGGCTTCGGGGACGCGAATATTGCGTAACTTACGAGGGTGTATGGCCTCGGGGACGCGAATATGGTGTACTTTATTAGGGAGCATGGCCTCGGGGACGCGAATCTTGTATAATTTGCGAGAGTTTGTAGCCTCGGGGACGCAAGCATGGTGTAGTTTACATGGGGTTCTGGCCCTGGGGACGCGAACATTGTATAATGTTCGAATATTTATGGTTTCGGCGGCGCGAATATTATGTAATTTACTTGGGTTTATGGTCTCGAGGGCGCGAACATTTTGTAATGTATCATGGTTTATGGCCTCGGGGACGCGAATATTTTTGATTTTCCCGAACATTAGGATTTCGTGGACGCGAATATTGTTGATGTACTAGGGTGTATGGCCTCGGGGACGCGAATATGGCATAATTTACCAAGAATTATGGCCTCGGGGACGCGAACATCATGTAATTTTACTTGTCCCACGCCCCCCCAGGAATTCAGACAACGCGATCTGGGCGTGGTACAACAAAATTGTTTGGGACTCCCCCGCGTTCAGGAACAATTCACAGTAAGGAAGCAGAAAGCAGGACTGTAACAGTGAAAACTGGAAACTGCAACTGGAACGGGGAGCTGCAATCCTCACCCTCGCAGCCTGCTGGCCCCGCAAGGGGGCCGGCGGGCGGATTTTAGAGAGGGATGCCTGTCTTTTCAGTGCTGCGCGCTCCCTCTTGGACACTCCATCCCCTCCAGGGGTTCCAGGCGTGGCGGCGGGAAGCCCCGCTGGAGGCCCAAACAGGGCGCGAGACGCCCCGAGAACCTCGAACCATCGATCCTCGTACTGTCCTCTCTTACCTCTCCTCTTCCCCCCTCTTTATGTCTGTCATAGCCTTTTAGGCTTTCAGCCCGTACGGGCACAGGTGATGTTGGCATCTCCAGGGCGCTCGCACAGAAAGACTCATGCTTTCCCCCTCTCGACCAGTCTCAGACAATGGTAGCCGGAGCGTGGTACCGATAGGGGGACGGGCATCGTCTCAAGGAGCAAGCGTTTCGGAGTCAGCCATGACATTTGTGGCCACGACAGACGAGGCAGCCGGCGAGGAACCGGCACACGAGCAGCAAGAAGCAGAAGAAGAAGAAGAAGGTGAAGGGGAAGAACAAGACTGGTGGAGCTGGTGGCACTGGCACCCCTGGTCGTGGGCAACGCAGTCCTGGGCATCTTCGGACTAGAGTCACGGGCCCTGGAAGGGGCCAGTTGAGCGGAACAGGGACTTCTCGATTCCGCCACCGTTCCTGGGCTTAGAGCACTTGGACACGTACCTCCACAACTTGACTTCTTGGACGAAAACTGGCTTCCAACCGGAAACCCAGGCTTCGAAGATCTTGGAAGGATTTCCCGTCGAGCTCCAGGCCAAGGTGTAGAGGTGTGAGAGACCAGCTAGACGCCGAGGAAGGAGTTGAGATTCTCGTCAAGCACCTTCGTTTACTGAACGGAGAAGGCCAGGAGATCGAGAACGCGAGGCGCACAGTGCCGCGCTGTTCGACGTGAACATACGGAGAGGCGAGAGCCTCACCGAGTTTGTGGTGCGCCGTGACACGCAAATCTCGCAGGCAGAAACTTTCGGATTGACTCTCCCGGATGATGTCAAGGCCAGATTTTCTGAAGAGGGAACTCAGTTGTCTGGCCAGATGCGAGTGAACCTTCGGGCGTTGATGGCGGGCGATCGGTCTTGCAAGTAGGTGAAGAGCGCCCTTCTGCAGTTAGACGCAGCCGAGAAGAATCTCCTGCCGAGACCGCCGCAGCAGTCCAGCAAGGTCTACGCCACTCTTAGACGAAGACGACGAGTGTCAGCTGTGCGACTCTGGAGATCTCTTCAAGGTGGAGTTTCCAGCCGAGGAGGCCGCAGCGTTTTTGACTTCTCTGGAGGCCCAGGATATGTATGAGGACGAGGCTTTTGATGTGTATGCGGAACTTGGAAAGAGGCAAAACAACCGAAAGCAGCTCGGAAAGTCGACCGGGAGTTTTTCGACAGAAAGCGAGGCACGGCTTCATCACCTCCAGCGGGACGCCCAGGGTTCATGAAAAACACACTCGATGTACGAATTGCGGTGGGAAGGGTCATTGGCGCGAAGATTGTCGGAAGCCGTGCCGATCGAAAGAAGACAGATTGAAAGCAGAGAAGTCGGGTCATGTGTCAAACGTCAGTGCAGCCGACGATTTCTATTTCTCATTCGACTCTTTCGGGACTTCAGCTCCATCGTGGATCACGTTCTTTGAGAGGCTGGCAGAGGGATCACAGGAATTCTCGGGAGTGCATCTTCGTGACATGGAAGATCATGGACTAGTGGATACCGCAGCCGCCCAGGCGCTGATAGGTCAGCCGGACTTGGACACGATGATCTCGGCCTCCAAGGCCAAGGGCTACGTGATTCATGGGACAAAGGAAGACGACCTGCCGTATGCCAATGGAGTGGGAGGGAGAATTCGTCCGATTGCCAAGGCGGCGGTGCCGCTCTCGTTCGCGAAGTGCGGAGTCTTGGAGTTCCTGGTGATACCTCATGCGTGTCCGCCGCTGATACCGGCTGGGTTTCTTGAATTCCTCGGAGCTGTCATTGATATGAAGCTCAACGTTTTGAGATTCGGAGGGGATGGTGAACATGAGATTCCTATGACCAGGCTGCCCTCAGGACACAGATCAATAGCGTTGATTGGTAGGCCCTCGAAGGATTTCCGTTTGAGCCCCAGCCTCGAGAAGAAGTTCCCCAGTTTCACGTTGCCGAAGGGAGAGCTTCAGGAGACCACTTGCATGGCGAACCAGGTCGAGGGCCACCTGGATTTCCGGGAAATGATGTCAGATCGCTGCCGCCTGCATCACGTGA